AGGTCTTTTACCTCTTTAGTTAAGTTTATTCCTAGGTATCTTAATTTTTTTTGGTGCAACAGTAAATGGGATTTTTTTTTATAGAGTTGGATATTTATCTTAATCCATTCTGCCAGTCTGCTTTATGATTGAATAATTTAATCCATTTATAGTTAATGAAACTGATTAAAAAAGACTTCTGCCATTTTACTGTTTCTGTATGTCTTATACCTTTTTTGTTCATTTTTTCCATAACTACCTTCTTTTGTGTTTAGCTGATTTTGTTTTGTAGTGAATTGTTCTGATTTCCCTCATATTTCCTTTCCTATGTTTTAGATGTTTTCTTTATGGTCACAAAAGGGATGACATTTACCTCTAAATTTATAACAATTTAGCTTAAATTGATACCAACTTAATTTCAACAGAACGCAAAAACTATGCTCCTATATAGCTCATCTTCCATCCCTTTATGTTATCACAAATTATATCTTTGGACTATGTATGCCCGATGAATAACATATTTGTAATTACTATTCATTCATTATTTTTTAAATACTGTAGGAAATAAGGAGAGTTATAAATTAAAATTATAACACCAGCTGTACTGATTAATAATATGGATTTTTTTCAATAGATGTAGTTACACATGTTGATATATATGCGATTTGATATGTATGCTATTTTGTTGTGTTGACAGCATCCTTCAAATATATCAACCTTCATCTATCAAATTTTCTGAAGGTGTTAACATCATAGATATTTTTATGCTTAAAAATGTTGAATTTTGTGCCAAAAAGAGCATTTGCGGGAAGTTTTAATTCACTACTTTATTGTGAAGAAAAGTGCTGCTGAAAGTTAACATATACTTTGGGAAGCTTATGGTGAACAGACTCCATCTCAAGGTATTTATGAATGCTGGTTTAAACGCTTTAAAAGTGATGATTTCGATGTGAAAGACAAAGAATGTCCAGGTCAACCAAAAAAGTTTGAAGACCAACAATTACAAGCATTATTGGATAAAGATGCATGTCAAACTCAAAAACAACTTGCAGAAAGATTAAATGTTGCTCAACAAACAATTTCCAATAGTTTACAAGCAATGGGAAATATTTTAAAGGAAGGAAAATGGGTGCCACATTAACTGAACGAAAGACAACGGAAAACCAAAAATTCATCAGTAAAATGTTGCTTCAACAGCACGAAAGTCTTTTTTGCATCCAATTGTGACTGGCGATGAAAAGTGGATTTATTTTGAGAATCCCAAATGCACAAATCATGGGTTGATTCAGGTCAACCATCAACATCAACTGCAAGGCCAATCGCTTAGGAAAGAAGACAATGCTCTGTGTTTGGTAGGATCAGGAAGGTGTGGTGTATTATGAGCTTCTAAAATCAGGTGAAACCATTAATACTGATGGCTACTGACAACAAACAATCAATTTGAACCACGCTTTGATCGTAAAACGACCAGAATGGCCCAGAAGATATGGCAAGGTAATTTTGCTTCATCATGATGCACCATCACACACTTCAAAACCAGTTAAAGACACGTTAAAAGATCTTGCCTGGGAAGTATTAGCCCACCCGCCATATTCACCAGACCCTGCTCCCTCAGATTACCACTTGTTCCAATCAATGGCACACGCACTTTCTGAGCAGCACTTCAAAACATACGAAGAAGTGGAAAATTGGGTCTATGAATGGTTTGCCTCAAAACAAGGAAAGTTCTATTGGGACGGTATCCACAAATTACCTGAAAGATGGGGGAAATGTGTAGCTAATGATGGACATTACTTTGAATACAGCACTTCTGATGTTTCTCTTGAAATTATCGTGTTTTCTTTGATTACAAAATCTACATTAACTGGTACACCTGGTAACATTGGCTTTTATATTTACCCATTTATTTATCTTTATTTGAAAATCTGTATTTATCATACTAGAGGACCAGTGTGTGAAATGTGTGCACTGGTAGGGTCCCTAGTGATTGCCGGCTGCAGCCTCCCTGCCACCACCGTTGGTGGCCAGGGCCTCCCTCCCTTCCATGGCCAGCCCCAACCCTTGGTCAAACTCCAGGATGAACTTCCGGTCGAGGAAACAATTTGCATACTATGCTTTTATTATACAGTAGGTCCTTGGGTTATGTCAGAGATCCGTTCCTACGGCGCGATGTAACACGATTTTCACCGTAAGTTGGAATCCACCTACATAAGCACCTTCATCACTCACATGGAGCACATATATCGCAGTAATGAAGTGAAACAGTAAAAGAAAAAATTTTTAAAAAGATAATTCCTGACCTGTACTTGTGGTAAATAAATAATAAAAAACTTAAAGCACGTATGTACATACATCAAAATGATGGAAATTTTTTTTAATATAAATAAATGGGAGATGGTGACGTAATCATGAAACGACATATTCTGAGTCCGACATAACCCGAGGACTGTCTGTTTAAGAGGATGGCTCTGGTCATTTCAATCTGAAGGGTTACCTTTAGCACTTCTTGTATGACAGGTCGAGTGGCAATGAACTCTCTGAGCTTTTATTTATCTAGAAATATCTCACATTCTCCCCATTTTGGAGGACAGTTTTGCCAGATACAGAATTCTTGGTTGAGAAGTTCTTTTCTTCCAACATTTTATTTATTTATTTATTTATTTTAATATATTTTATTGATTTTTTACAGAGAGGAAGGGAGAGAGATAGAGAGTTAGAAACATCGATGAGAGAGAGACATCGATCAGCTGCCTCCTGCACATCTCCTATTGGGGATGTGCCCGCAACCCAGGTACATGCCCTTCGCCGGAATCGAACCCGGGACCTTTCAGTCCGCAGGCTGACGCTCTGTCCACTGAGCCAAACCGGTTTCGGCATCTTCCAACATTTTAAATATGTTATCTCATGCCTTCTGGCCTCCATGGTTTCTGATGAGAAATTGGCTGTTATTTCTATTGAGGATCATTCATATGTGACAAGTTGCTTCTCTCTCAATGCTTTCAAGATTCTCTTTTGCTTTTGACAGTCTGCTTATGTCTTGGTATGGGTATCTTTGAATTTATCCTACTTGGAATTTTTTGCACTCCTCAGATTTGTAGATATATCTTTGTTTAAATCTGGGAATTTGGAGAACTTCTTTCCTCAAATATTCCTCTGCTTCTTGCTCTTTTGCTTTTATTTCAGTGACTTCTTTAATGCATTTGATGATCCACTTGATGGTGTTCCAGAGGTCCCTTAGGCTCTGTTCACTTTTCATTCATTTATTTGCCTCAGACTGGATAATTTCATTGTCCTATTTCTACATTTGCTGATTCTTCTGTTAGCCCTTTGTATACCATAAGCGTCTATTGTGGCATATGGAGATGGTTTCTGTTTTGGATGCATGGTGGTTAAGTGGTTAAATATCTCCAGTGAATTTTACATTTTTGTATTTTTAAGCTTTAGAATTTATTTGTACAATTTCTTTTTATTGATATTTATTTTTTAATATTTTTTTCTTGGATTCCTTTAGTTTTTTTGTCTCTATTTTCTTGAGCTCTTTGAGGATATTAAAGATAGTTGTTTTAAAGTATTTGTCTAGTAAGTTTGATTCCCAGACTTCATCAGGAATGTTTTTTGTCAATTTGTTTTGTTCCTTTTAATGAGTCATACTTTCCTTTTTCTTTGTATGCCTTGTAATTCTTAAAAAAAATTTTTTTTTAAAATATATTTATTTTGATTTCAGAGAGAAGAAGGAAGAGGGAGAGAGAGATAGAAACATCAGTGCTGAGAGAGTCATTGATTGCCTGCCTCCTGCATGTCCGCTACAGGGGATTGAGCCTTCAACCTGGGTATGTACCCTAGCCAGGAATTGAACTGTGACCTCCCAGTTCATGGGTTGATACTCAACCACTGAGCCACATCAGCTGGGCATGCCTTGTAATTCTTTTTTGAAAACTAAACATCTACATATTAAAATGTGGTAACTCTGGATAGGAGATTTCCACCTTCCATAGGGTTTGTATTTTCTGGGTTACTGAATTTGTTCAGTGAATTTTCCAAACTAATTTTGAAAAAATCCATTGTATTCCTTGTTGTGCATGGTCACTGAAATCTCCGCTCCTTAGCTGTGTTAAGCTGACAGAGATTTCCTTGAACATTAATGGCTAAACAAATAAAAAACCTCGACAAAAACAAAAACGTATTCTCCTAATCTTAGCAGAATGAGTCTGCAGGGGCACTCCAATGCTAATACCTGGGCTTGCAAAGCTAATATCAGAGCCTGAGGCAAAAGCTTAGGGTTTTTGCAGGTCTATTCTGAGCATAAACATTGTGCCTTGGATATCTGCATGGCGTTCTAAATTTCCCTGGACACATGGGGCTTTTTAATGCTCTAGTGCCAAAGAA